TTGCCATAATTGTTGAGCTATCCATTTTGGTTGCTTTCTAATTCTTTCCTTCCACAATGATAAACTTAAGCAGTGTTTATTCCCACCAACTGTCATAATTCTCAAGGCTGAACACATCTCTGTCTTGTTATTACACGTTTTCTCTTATGATTGTGAGGACTTGCATTTCTTTTTAGGATCCTTGTTGCCACTGTGAGGATTGGGGGGCTGGTGTGTGCAAAAGAATGGACAAAAAGTTTTTTATAAAAACACCTTACCTCTGTAAGACTAAGGTCAGATAAAGATGTGAGGGAAGGTTTAGAATAAGGGCCAGGTGATGGAAAGGCAATTTCAGGAAAGGCCTGGGCTTTCTTTGATCTGGAAGGATGGCTTTTAAGCACATCTCCCTTTGGAGTATCAGAATTCCTGTCCTCAATCCCGGCTGCATCCTCTGTCCTCACTGTGCCACGTCGTGCTTCTACTACAGTAAAAACCAGGTAAAGAGTATGTGAAAATATCTGTAATTAAGAATCAATGAATAACATAAGAATAGGCAGTCTTCAGATAGCTTACATTTTTTCTTGGATCGTCGAGAAGCAGTCAATAGCCTTTTAGAACTTTGCTTAGGGACATTCTACGAAATAATAATAATGATAATAATACTTTTAAGAAAAATGAGTATCAAGTTTGACAAAATACTTATAATATTTACCATGACTATGATCTGACACAAAAAGCACAGGTTTCAGAGTCACTCAGATGTAGATTAAAACCTCAAGTCTGCCATTTATGAACCTACATCTTTTCATGGGGTGAGGATTATAGCCGATGATACAGACATTCTAAAAATTTTACCCCCTTCACCTCTGGTTGATTATTACACAAATACTGTGAGATCCATGGTACCCTTGGGATACCATGTATCCCAAGGTAATTTAGAGTATTTTCAAAAAATCTAATGTTAATATTTAAATTAATTCCATGTCATATTTTCAAATGTGTTTATATGACTTATATTTGCATGAGTTACCTCCTGTGGGGGAAATGTGAGGGTTTAATTTTTAATAAAATTAATATCTCAATTAAATGGTTTTCACTGCAAATAGTATAAATTGCTTCTATTCTCTCTGTCAAAAAGTGAAAAATAAATGATTGTATAGATTCAGGTCCTTCCAACAAAGAGAGGGAGAGTGGATAAACCTCGCAGAGCAAAGATTGACTGATGAATGTAAGCTACGCATAGCTAAGGAATAGAAAGGTGCACCTAAATACGCTGACAATGGAGACAGAGACAGACTGAAAGAACAGACACTGAGGAAACGTGCTCTGTGACAAAAAATTTAGACTGGGGGAAAATATTTTGAAAAGGTGGGGCATGAGGGAGAAACAAAAAAGGAAAAAATGAGACATGACCAGTCGTTCAAATATGAGCCTAGGCCAAGGAAGAAAAGGAAAATCATTTAGTGTAATCACGTACGTGCAGAAATACAAATACATAACAGAGATTTTTTTCACAGCATTTTCCTAATAATAGTGATTAGTATCCACTCTATAATTGATTTTTATAAATACTTCTGTGTTACAATATAGAGTTTAATTTTATTACTATAAAATAAGTCAACCAATTAGTTAAACACGGTCATCTACCAGGACGTAAAAGCTGTAACATTATTACAACAGAGAGAGAAAAAATGGAAAAAGAAATGTTCCATCAAGTTTCCATTTGGAGAAAGAACTGGTAATCAGTATTTTAAGGAGCAAAGTATGGCTTGAAAAGATATATTTATGAGAACATGGCTTGGGCTAAAAAAAATTTGAGAAATTTTAATCTCAAATTCTTCTCTAAGCTTTCACTTGGAGGATACTAGAAAATATATAGTAACTCTCTCTCCTATTACGACATGCTTCTAAATTGCTTTCTTCTTATTTATGACATATTTTCTCAGCATAACTCCCTGTACGTATACATCCTACACATTAAAAGGGAACATAAATTTAAGCCATACTTTTAGAAATGCAACAGATTTAATTATTAGATATGTTATGCATATTATTCATAACATTCCATTATATAGAAATCCATTTGCCTGTTCATTTATTCATATTCGAAATATTAAAATGATTCTTACATGTAAGATGTATTCTAGGTACTCAAGGATACACTCAAATATATTTCCTAACCTCCTTGAACTCATAGTATAATAATTTAGAGGCTTTAAAATGATTATTTAAATAACTAAATATAAAAACTTCTGAAATTTGAGATTTTAGAATGTGATACAAGATCTTTGAGTGGATATTTTTAAACACTACAATGCCAAAAAACTTCTGAAATTAAAAGTTTACCATATGGCTATTCACAGTTAATAGTCTCTGTTTCTAGAACTGTTTGTTATTTGTGGCAAAACATGAATTCTTCAATTAGATGAGGTGTCACTATATATTCTTAAAGGAATGACTTAGAAAACACAGTGGAATCTCTTTGTAATACACATTTTGGGAAAAAGAATTTAAATTTCTCTATTTCCACAATTTTTTTTTTTAATTAGAGATGGGGTCTTGCTATGCTGCTCAGGCTGGTTTCAAACTCCTGAACTTAAGTGATCCTCCCAGCTCAGCTTCCAAGTTGGGACCACAGGAATGTGCTACCATACCCAGCTAAACTTCCATAATTTCTAATATTATTTTAGTCTAATTAAAGAACCAGAGAGAGAAATACAGGAAAAAGTTCTCTCCTAAAGTCATCACAAGGAAAAAAAAGGAAACTGTATGTTATGTGCTGTACAACTGAGGAACTGAAAAGCACTAGGAAGATTCCACGATTACTATAATAAGTATTATATTTGGATCCATTAGAGATTTATGTAGGCAAAAGTATTATTATAAAAGTCATGTTAATAGGATTTAAAAGTCACAGTAAATATACTTACCCAAATAAAAACTGACTAAATTTTATATTTTATCAATTGTGGAAAGGCTTTTCCTAATATAATTTTCCTGTCCCTGTGCATGTTTCAGCTCATTCTTTTTTCCAGCCCCAACCCTCCCAAAGTATTTATCAATCCTTTGTAACTTATCAATGTAAAAACATTTAAAAACATTCCACTAGTCACACTTCTATAAAATAGTTTTCTCTGACCAGCTTTCCATCACAAACATACAATGATCATAGTTGACCACTGCTAAATTTTAACAGTAAATACTATGCAAAACTAAATTCATAGTGAGAAAATTCATTTCACAGGAGATCAATTTACCTTGGTTTCATAATAGAAATCTTCAACATCTGGCATGTCCCATAAGTCATCATCACCATCCAGAGTGCTAGAAAGCGTTTAGGGCAAAAACATAACAAAATGAGTGAGTTCATTTCTTTAATAAAAAAATTACCAGTTCATATTTGGGTGCTCCCTCCAAAAAACAAAAACAAAAAAAAATCTGGGGAAAGGTCAGCTATCTGACCTATACTGAATGATATCTCTTGATATGACTAAATAAGGCTTTTGTTTTAAAAAATATTTTAGTTATCTGTTTCTACCTCCATCTCTCCTGACCTATGAAATATTCAGTGAAAATACCCTTAGCTCCACAACCAACAGCGACAGCCACAATATTGGCAGAGCCTGAGAATAATCTGTCTTCATAAATTATCTATACTGAAAGCTAAACTGAAAATCCAATAAATGGCAGACATAAGTCTTGTTACCTGAACTGGAACAAACCTGATAACCTAAACCAAGGTAGAAAAATACAACATTGTTTCCCCATTATCTATCCCTGGTTCAAAGATTAATTTGTATCACTCTAAATGGCAGTCTTCATTCTTCAGTTTGGACACCACTTAAAAAAGCCCCACTGTTCCCTTTACCCTAAAATAGTAAAGGGAGTCCCATGAAACATCTGAAATATTTGAAATCTAAATGTACGAAAGGTTAAAGAACCAATGTATATATTGTTATTGGGAATATTCTTCCTGGAAATATTAAAACATTAAAATTATAACATCTAATGATTTTTCCTATAGAAGACCTGCCTTATTTGGGTCTACATAAATTAGCAAGCCCTTAAAGACTTTTACAGGCTTTCAGATACCCAAGGAGAGAGACTGCTGAGAAAACAAAGTCCCAGTAGTTGTATCTCTATTTCCCTAAGTTCTATCTAATTATCTTTCTTCCCATGGCTCTCACTTCCAGATTCCTCTTCTGCAGGGCTCCATGGCAATTTCCAACTTTTAAATCTCCAGCCTACAAAAGCACAGATTTCTGAAGGATGGGCTCAGATGATAAACAGCAAGAGCTCTCTATTTCCTTGCTTCTGGAAAATAAGCTAAATAGACTCAGTAATCTGCTCCAAGCATAGGCATGTTACCAGCAACTCACCAGAAGCTCCATGACTGATTCACCAGCCAGGCCTATCCCTGTCCTACCCTCCATATACATCAGTGAAGGACAGCAATGAATTGGGAAAAGAGGCGGAGGTGAGGGGACATCTGCCCTGGGCCACAGTTCTATGTAGTTCAGCAATCTCCAGCCCCCTAGTAATCAGCCACCTCTTGTAAGCTGGGGAACAAGTAGATGATATTACATTCCTAACTGCTGCAGAGATTCTTCCCAGTTGCTCAAATTCTTTTAACATCTTTCAACACAAACCTTCAAGTTTGTCAGTCCTTCCAATTAAACAAAAAAGCAGCAACCTATTCAGCACTCCCTTGGACCTTCCATTTTGGTATTTCTTTCCAGATAACTCCCAATGTATTGTGTTTTCATTCCTATGATTCACTTTTATCAAACTTGTCATAAACCCCAATATGATCTCTTTTCTCAAACCCTTATTCCTATACAAGCCAGTGTTATTTCTTTTCAAGCTTGGCCTTCCCCTTCTAATTCCATGGGTACCCACTTCCATTGGCTTCACCAGCTAATTCCATTCTTATCTATTCCATTGAGTCCACTAAACCCACTACCACTCATATTATTTAAAACACTCACTGACAGGATGACACAAGAGTAGTACTGGGCTTTGAATTAAGGAACCTGATTTCAAATATCATTTCTGCCACTTATTATATCCAAATAAGTCATTTTAATATCTTTGAGTTTGAGGTTCTCCATCTGAACAGCCACCTGGCCAGGATTTTCAGCACAGGCTGAAGTACAAAGAGGGTATTTTGATTAGTCTCTAAGATTCCTTAAAATATTGAAATTCTATGTGCTTTGACTCTGTCTATAAAAAAATAGGGAACATTTAACTAGCAGAAAAAGGAAGAAATAATAGAACAAAAGAAACACCAA